ATCTTCACATGTTTCGTTGCAAAAAAAGGCAACCTTGGAAAAAGTATCCTTGTGTACTCGTACGGAGTATGCTGCATATAGATCACAAATACATACCTAGTGGCTAGTCCACGCATAATTGGAAAAGGCAATAACGCCCAGTTGGTGTGTGTATATACAAGTCCCCATATTTTGTATCTTCAGGCCGCCCGGGCAGCCTCATAAAGTCACTACGCCCCTACCCGAGTTGATTGGTGTTTTTCGCGCCTCGCACAGTTCAAGGCGTTTGGTGGCAGTCGCTACGAGTAGATAGTCGGGTACGCGAGATGGTGAAACAGTACCGCGTATGTTTAGGACGAGGAGGGCGTTCCTTTCTTCCCCTTGCCGCCCGAACTCCTAGCTTATCTTATGTCTTTGGACTGGATCGCTCGTATACGAATATTGTTGCCTTGGATAGACTCAGAATATCGCCCTCCTTTACTGGGCAAGTGTCAGCCAATCGCTTCCACACACCATCAGATACTTGGTTTTGACACTTGCGCCAGGCAAAAGAGCGGGAGAGGCGCAGAGGCGATGTTTCCCGCTTGAGACTCTTGAAACAAACGCCCCCTGAAGCTAAATTGTTGAGCTAGCATCCACGGACTGCTATTGACTCGTACCTATTATTCCATCAGAAAGGCGGCTCTTCTGCTGCGCACGTCGGTAGGCTGCAGCTCTGCTGCCTGCAACCAGACTGCGACCCGTGCTTGATTTGATGTCCGGTCCAGGCTCTATTTCCCTTGGGAACTTTTGCCCCCTCGCTCCCGTTTGGCTACCAAGTCGTAGTAGATGGAAACCAGGGTTTCACATGTACGGAAGCTGAAGGCCCGAAGAGGAGATCCTGCGCCGTGCCGCCTCACACAACGGCTTGCGTTTTGTCAAACCAAGTCGTAAGTTGACATGTCGCATGAACCTGCTCGGGGCTCACACCGCCAGTAGCGACCGATGCAAGGCTGGGAGGTACCATGCAGGGAAAAAGGGGGGGGGGGCGCCATGGGACGTCAAAACAAGCGGTTGACGCCCCCCGGATGCTTCTGCAGGTACCGCACCGGTATCTTTTTAGGGGTCCCAGGGTCCCCCCAGGGCCCAGGGGGCTTCCCCGTTTGCTGCCTCCCTACAGCCCTTCACCGCTCTTTGCCCTCCAGTCCTGTAAGGGTTTGGTAAGGTATTGGTATTCAAAGGACGTCGTACTCCATACACAACCGAACTGATGGCTTGCTTTGGATCAGGAGAATCTCGTCGGGGAATGCATCTGTCACTTTTCCCGGGTGGACGAATAACGCTCAACTTGCAGCTGAAATCCCTTCCAAAGGCACCATCAACCGCAGTAAGGGGTGGGCAGCACAGGTCGGGTAGCCAGGCCCCTTGCTGTTTGCTCAGTTGAGACCCGAATCATGCGTGGCTTACCTGAAAGAGAGTTGCATTGTCCATCCCTCTTTGCAGAGTTTTGACCCCTTTGCGAGACCAAGGATGCGAGCAGTACAACGCATACTCTTGCTAGAGGGATAAGATTTGTCTGAGGACTGACTTGTCTCATCGAGTGACCAGGTGCTTCCCTGACTGCTGTCGGTATTCTGAAGTGGACTTCGCTGGTATGGTATGAGGAAGTATGCAGCTGAAGAGGTACAGCGTGTGCAATATGGCCTCTGTACTGACCGAACAAAGATTAGACCTCTGCTAGAGATATCCTCAACATTGTGCCCACTGCTTCTCATGCCTCCATAGATCAGGCCGACGAGGCTGGACGAGGCTGAAAGACACAAACGACGCTAACTATAAACGGTGATATTAGCCGGATGCATCACGTGTGTCTACGTAACCTTTGATTGTTGTCTTGTCTGGGGAAACAACGCCGTGCCCATGTGCACGAATTCTCAAACCTGAAATCATCGCTTTCACCTTCTATTGTATCGACAGTGTCTGTTCTCTTCTCTCTCGCTTCAACAACCTATCGGCCACGCTATTCCTCCAATCCCTACACTAGTCTTTCGCAGTTGACTGGTTCAACTCCTTGTTTAATTCCGAACATGAAAGATTGGTTCTCATGATGGGCGACGGGCCTGATAAACGTTACGGTGTGGTCCTGGATGCTGGCTCGTCCGGGACCAGAATTTACATATATCGATGGCTCCCCAACTCGGTCGCTCGACTCGATCACACCTCCCTACATTCGTTGCCGGAATTGGAGACAAAGGACAAGTGGACGAAAAAGGTGCATCCGGGAGTCTCAACCTTTGGCGACACACCCGACTTGGTCGGTCCAGACCACCTAAAACCCCTCCTTGACCACGCCCTCGAACACATCCCCAAAGATGCCGTTCCTGACACACCTATTTTTCTGCTCGCGACGGCGGGCATGCGCCTCCTCCCTGACAGACAACAAAAGAGCCTCCTCCGAAATATCTGTTCTTATATCCAATCCGAGACGAAATTCTCAATACCAGACTGCGATGTTCATGTACAAGTAATTTCCGGCGAGACAGAAGGGCTGTACGGGTGGACTGCGGCGAATTATCTGCTAGGGGGATTTGACGAGCCCGAAGACCACGATCATGGCAAGGGCCACCATACATACGGCTTTTTAGACATGGGTGGCGCGTCCGCACAGATCGCGTTTGCACCAAATGCCACAGAAGCAGAGAAACACGCCAACGATCTCACCCTGTTACGTCTCCGGACCATCGATGGGGTGCCGCAGGAGTACAAGGTCTTTGTCACGACATGGCTGGGGTTTGGCGCCAACGAGGCACGACGGAGATACGTGGAGGACCTGGAAGAATCCTATGCCATTGATGGGATTCTAGAGGTTCCCGATCCATGCTTGCCGACAGGACTGCGAGTAAACTTCGACGGCACCATCATTTCAGACGACGGTCCCTCTCTGTCCAACCACTATCTACGGGGCGTCGGGAACTTTGATGAATGTCTCAGGCGGACATTTCCCTTGCTGGAGAAGGATGTACCCTGCCCAGACGAGCCGTGCCTGGTGCATGGAGTCCACGTCCCTGCCATCGACTTTGATGTTAATCACTTTGTCGGTGTGAGTGAGTACTGGCACACTACGCACGAGATTTTTGAGATGGCGCACAAGGATAAATCATACGACTTTAATACCTACCAGAAGAGGGTCAAGGAGTTCTGTGAGCAAGATTGGTCGGATATTCGGAAGGGTATCGAGGACAACATGTGGGGCAACAAAGTCGACGAAAAGAGCGCACTGGAAGTGTGTTTCAAGGCCAGCTGGCTGATTAATATGCTTCATGATGGCATTGGGATTCCCAGAGTCGGACTCGAAGACACGGACGTCTCATCACATAACGGCACCAAGGAAGTTCTGGAGGGCGCCGAGGATAAGGGGTTCCTCGATCCGTTCCAGGCTGTGAATAAAATCAAATCCACAGAAGTCAGCTGGACAATGGGCAAGATGCTTTTGTATGCGTCTGCAGAGATCCCGCCTGCCTCGGACGGGGACTTACCTGTTGGATTCGGAAGTAATGTGCCTGGGATCCCCAAAGACTTTCAGTATCCTGGTGGAGGCTTGCTTCAAGCCGCTCCAGACCACCACTCCGGAGTACCTGCTACCGACTTGCAAGAGACCAGTGGTAGTGATGACGGTGGCCAGAGTATAACGGACCACATCCACGACACGCTCTTCAACTCTGACACCCCGCACCGCCTGCCGGGATTCATCTTCTTCCTCCTCATCTTGATCATTGCGACATTCTATCTCTGCGGCCGCCAACGGCGTTCGAGGATCTACCTTTCCCTTCGACCCGCCTCCCCGTCTTCGTCCTCTGCTTACTCACCGTCGTCAACTCCGAAACTGAGGACACCGTTGAAGTTTCTCCATGCGCTACTGAGTCGCCGCAAAGGCGCTTACCATCTTGACCGAGACCGCGATCTCGAGGAAGGGACCTCACAGCAGCTCTACGACCCCAACGACTTTGAGCTGGACAACATGTCCGACGAGGACAGCACAGTCCTCGAAGCTGACGTGGCGTTCTCCAAGTCCAACCCGAGCCGACCGACATCACAGGGCAGGAACTCGCCTTTCCAGGGCAAGCGACACGGTCCAGACAGGCTGAAGCCGAACCCGATCGATCGCTCAGGACTGGTGGTCAGGACGGAGAGTCGGGAGAGCCTGGCCGGCGGCGATGCAGGGGTGAATGGACGATCCAAGAGCAGGAACGGGAGTCCGACCAGGATGTTATGACGATGAAAATATTCTGTCCTTTGTTCCGTCACTTGTTTTAACCCAAGAAAAGTTTTTATTGTTGGCTATCTATCCATACAGAACAGAAAAGAAAAGAAAAGAGAAGAAAAGAAACCTTGATCGTCATACTGTGTGTGTGTGTGGATGTATGTACCTAGGTAGGTAGCAATATCTACAGTGCCTATCTAGTATGAGTTAGGTACACATGTGTAATTGATATTTCCAACAACATCGGAACGAGAAAGGGGGTGCAGTTCCTCGTAGTCGGTACTTTGTGCGGTGTGTTGTATTCATATATATATACATATTCATACCCTCGTACACTTTCAAAATCTCACTCACTCACACACATATGTACCTACGTATGGATATCTATGTGTCCACATACATCCACATACACACATAGAGGAGGCGCATAAGTAGGGTAGGTAGGTAGGTAGGTAGGTAGGTAGGTGTACGAACAGGCACATGAACAGGCATGTCAGGATATATATATATATACACTATATGAAACATAAAGCACACATTAAACATACATCCTCACATTTTACATGATACATAATACATGATACATATACACATTATGTAATCACCAACCAACCCTAAATGGAGCATTGTGTGAGCATGCAAACATGGCAATCACGCACACAAGCAAATAAAAGAACTGATTGCAAACGTGACGTAGAAGGGGTCCTTTATCTTCCGTCTTTTATCTCGAGTCCCATCACTGGGGGAGTGGTTCGGTGTGGTGAGGTGAAAAGCTGAGAAATCATGGCGAGAGTAACGAGGATGTCGAGTCTCGAGGGTTCGTGGTCCCGCCAGCTCCGGCGCCAGTACCAGTACCAGTACCAGTACCAGACCCAGGCGCGGATCCAGATACAACGGCAGACACATCCTTCTTCCTAAAACCCATGTTCAACGGGTCCGGAAGTCTGAATTCGGGAATGCCCGTCTCCGACTCGGGCTCCCTGATGGGCCTGAGCAAGCTCGAACCCGTCCCCGCGGTCCTGTATCCCCGATCCTTTGCTCCCAGTGGCCCGTTTCCACCGTACCTCTCGTGTTCTCGGTCGCGCTCGCGCTCTCTCATAGCGGCATGCTGGGCGGGTAACGTCGCTGTGACCTCCTTGTAGAAGGTGTCCAAACGCTCCCTGTCGGCGCAAAAGGCTTCGAGATCGTCTTTGATCTGTTCGGGCGTGACAAAGTGCGAGAATCCCGAGGCGATGAGCGCTCGGCGGGTTCCCAGGACGTCGGCCGTCACCTTTGGTGTCATGGGCGGAGGGGGGACAGCGGTCGATATGGATGTGTTGGCATTTGGTGCCGTGGTCTCTACGCCCATATGGCTGGGAGCGGCAGGAGTCGATGAAAGAGGCCGAATAAGTGGTGATGCATAGGGCCCGGCGTGAGGTGATTGTACATTCAATCCGATGATCCCAGATGCTGCGATGCTCGGTGCAGAATGGGTCGAAGAGAGTGTTTGAGGACGCAGGAGCATGGTGCTGGAGGCATTGGGTGTAAGATCTTTCTTGCCGGCGTCGAACCTTGACGACGAGTCTTTTGCCGACGCTTGACGAGAATTATACAGTCGGTTTGCCAGGAGGAGGATGTCGCCTTCATCAGTGATCTGCGCGAGGACGACTCCGGACCGGTGGACGAATTGCGTGTAGCGATAATCCAGGTCTCCCCAGGAGTACTTGATCTCGACATTCTCTGGAAACTCCGAGGGCGCTTCGAGGTCGAGGACGAAGTTGAAGCGCTTGAGTATCGCTTTCTGGTAGAAGTTCATGTCAGGGGTCAGGGGTGCTTGCGGGCCGAACGACACTGCCGTAAAGTACAGGGTGCTCACCACGCTGCGGCGTGGAGGCTGGAGAGCAAGTTTGATGCGGTAGGCGGCACGAAAAGGTTCATGCTCAGGGACCTTGAACGCTTCTGCAATGGGAACTTCGACAAGCTTCAATCCGTACTTCTCCGCTTGTGTAGACCAGCTCACAATGGCGTCGTCGACCAACTTGGACGTGACATTGAACCAGGCCAACTCGAGATGATAGCAGTTCTCCGGGTTGTGAAGTCTGTCATAATGTAAGTTGATTATTTCGGGTCTGTTGGATCGCTTCCTCGTATCCACGTCGATTCGGATCATCTTGCTCAGAGTCACAGTTCGTCGTTTCTTGTCTCCCAGCGTCTTGGCCAGCTCAGAGGCAACTTGTCCGTGGTTGGCGAGATTTGAACCTGATCGTGACCTGCCACTGATCAACTCCCGGGTTGGATGCTCGGTCGCAGGGGTGGGCGGAATCGATCGATCTGAGCGTCGGCTTGCAGGAAACCATGATTGCCTCGCTTCCATTCGCTGGATGCGAAACTCGGGCTTGATGGAATAAAAATAGTTGCCGTCTTTGAAGTTGTGCTTGCTGTTGACGTGCTCGAAAAGATTCTCCTTCATAAGATCATTGCCCAGCTCAACCGCCTCTTCTCGAGTGTCAATATCCCGAAAGTTATGGACCAGCCAGTTGGTCAAGTCTTCACCCATGAAGCAACTGTAGTAAAGACGCAAGTGCCAGCGTCGAGTCTTGATCTCAATCCCATTTTCGCCTTGTAGGGCTTGGGCTAGCTTAGGAAGGCTGAAGGAGTCCCTCTCAAACTGTTCAGCTTCGGGCAGAAGTTGTGTCGTTTGTACCTCGCCGGCCTCTTCAGCGGCGATCAGCTTATCGAGCTCCGTCGCCACGAGCTCCGATGGATTGAGGGTTTCGAGATTGATCCTGAGCGGGTTTCTATCCTTTCCTTTCGTAGTGGTCGACCGGATATGAGCAGGTCTTCTCTCGTCTGGCGGCACATATCGTGCCTTTTGCCACATCTGCGTCAACGCTCGGATTCCGCGCAAATGAATCTCTTCTTCGCTTTCTTCAGCTTCGGATAGCGTGGGTCTCCAGGAGTTGACTGGTGGCGCGACTGGAATGAGCACAAATCTTGCTCGCCAGAAACGGAGAGCTTTGACATCGACATCGTTTTGCTTTCTAAAGTCAGCCAGGTATCTGTCTGCCGCTTCCCAGGGGTACTGCTCGGAAAACCCGTTGAACCGCATATCTCTTATTTTGTATGCCTCGGAGAGAATGGTTCTTATGTTGGGATAATAGGAAATCTCCTGAGGATATGGAGGCTGGACACTTGGTGGTCTCCGAATATACCTCGTCACTTGAATGCGATTTTTCACCTCAAGAGACAGCTTCTGTATCGTGTTTCCCATTGACATGACAATAAAGGACCCGTCAGGCCGCACAAGATTCGGTGTGAAGAACGACGACGTGTCGCACGTCCCGGGACCAACAGACTCGAGCAGTGATGGACCAACTACGAGCTGGTACCCATGACTAAATCTGAGGGCCAACATCTCCCCGAGGAGGATGTCGCGCGACTCGGGCTCTTCAAGCATCTCGTTCGGATTAGCCAGAATGACATGGTAATTTTCCGTATCATAATCCATTTCGAGTTCATCCTTGGTTGGAAAATCCTCAGTCGTCAGAGGCACCGACGCAGGAGTGCACAGAGATTTCCACTTGACGGTGGCGGCACGTGGTTTCCGAGGATAAAGATGCTGCCATCTGCCGAAGAACGACTCCCTTTCGGGGTGGCGCTTCAAGGGATTTGACGCGTTGACATTGCGTACGTAGGGGAGAGTACTTCTTGGGACCGAGCTGGCGATCGATGTCCCCAGCGGGCTTTCAGCCGGCTCCACGCTGTCCGAGTCGTCTGCTCCTTCGCTTCCTGAAGAGCGTGATGATTCACTGTCTGCCTCTTTGCTATAACCGAGATCATCTTTTGAAGCAGCCATATGGTTTGGAACTCGGCGGGTGGTTGAATTTGATCTCTGTGATTCAGAGAGGAGATCGTCCTGAATCTTTCGCAACGGAGTATTAATGGAGATGGGCTTTGACGGTGTATCATCTGGTCGCGCGGACATTTGAGAGTTGGATCTTTCCACGGAAGCCAGGTTCTCTTTAGGCTTCTCCCCGAGCACACTGTTCGTGGACACGGAGCGTATGCTAGCAGCTGATGTTGCTACACTCGGCCTTGAGTGGCCAAGATTACCAAACGGCGAATGCGCCTCTACATTGGTAATGTTTACTTCGGTACTGGCAATCGCACGGACAGGTGGAGCCAGGCCTCTCAAAGCATAGTTCAGCGTCCGGTTGACCTTGGATATTTCTCGGGCCTTCTTAGTTGTTAACGGAGGGCTTGAAGCATCTGCAGAGACGAGGGACGGGAGCTGTGGTCGGAAAGGCGAATTCAATGATCTGTTGGTCAATACCTTTGTCAATCCGGACCCCGATTTTGGTGCCTCTTCTGGTGCGGGCTTCTTTGGTTGAGTCGAGGAGGCCGTATCGGTCCTCACCAAGCTACTTGTCATCTTTGCGGCCTTGGATTTGGTCTCTGTGGTCGAATGTACTTGAAACAGCAGCGAGTCATATGCATCCATACGGTCGAATATGTCTCCGAGTGCTTTGGCATTCAATGACAGCAACCCCTGGGATATTCGCGTGGGCTCCGGGCCGAGACGGCTCTTGCGTGATAGCGTGGGTGAATGCGACAGACTCCTGCTGCCAGTTGCTCGTCTGCGTTTTGAGCCAGCACGCTTGTGCGAACGCGTGAGTGATACTTGCGTTTCTGCCATGAATGGGATAGTCATGTCTGCCATGCCTAACTCCATAAGCCCCATCATTTGGATCTCATACATCCTCACACGGGGTAAGAAAGGTCCCTTTTTGCGTTTTGAGGTCCCATCCACATCCTTGGCGGCATCCTCCAGAAATTTGATCTCTGCTGACTCGCCCTCGGCAGACCAGTACGAGAGGTCAACCCACTGAGGAATGCCGTAGCTCCACCCTTGAGCACTTTCGCTCCGGCCAGAAATAAAGCTTGCAAAGTACTGTGTGCTGTTTGTGGCCGCAGATGACAGTGCCGGGGAGAGCTTGCGAGGCTGGCTGGAATCGAAAAAGCTTGGACCAGATCCGTATCTGTGCTCAGGAACGGTGACTTCTTCAACGACCGAGGACAGAGATGACTCCTCCACTCCAGAAGTCCGATATTTGAACAGGGGCACCGAGTGTAATGGCATCCTGGAAAGACAAACAATGTCAATCCCAACGCCGTTGTTCGTCAGATTCTGCGAGGTCAGGTTCAACAGATCTCGGTGAACTTCGAAAACGCCGGTTCCTGCTGTGACTACCACGATTGAAACCCCGGTCCGAATCAGATCCCGGTCTTCAAAATCATGAGCAAACTGGCTGCTGGCAATATTGATGGCTTCCAATATGTTGCCCTTGAGCGCGGCGCTGGGTCTGCCAGCAATACGCGTTGGCGGTGCTTTGGCATCTTCTGATATAATTTCCTTAGTGTTCGATGTGTGTAGAGAAATGTCTCTCAAAAACACACGAAAATCCTTCTTCAGTTCGTCCAAAATTGTTGTCCATTGCGCACTGGCCATGTCGGTGACGACCACCCTATAGAAGTCCTGATACTGGCGAGCGGTCATGTTGGGTGATCCTGAGATAGGTGCTGTTTCTAGCCTCCTATCCTTGTTCCGCGCGAGTTCGAAGCGGTCGTATTCCAGACGGCCGAAAAGAACAATGCTGACCAGGTGCCGAACATCCAGGTCGGTCCATCTCTTGAAAAGCTCGGGTAGGAAGCCATTGATGACCCGGTTGAACATGATCTCACCGTTTCCCTCGGAATCAAAGTCCCACATTTCGCTGGACATTTGAATAAAGAGCACGTACCGTGCCGCCTCACTGCGGAAGACTGGGATTGTGGTGCCGGCGAAGAAAGCAGTAGGCACTTTGTGATTCCGGACATGGATAGACTTAACTGTGAGCTTGATGCTCCCCAAGTAGGTAATCTTTTGCCCGACATAAACGGTTGTCCCTGCCAACTCTTGTCCAACCAACCGCCACATGTCCGACCTGGCCAGATACGTATCTCTAAAGCTGAATTCCACATGGGACGCCGTAGAGTCCTCAAAAGACGCAGGAAATATGCGCACATACGAACGTGGTCTAAATCCGAAAGCTGTGGCAATATTACTCTTGATCGAGACTTGTAGGTTGGCCTGCTTTGCCTTGAACTCGGTGGACGCGAACTTGGTTATACAAAGGTAGTAGTCGTCCCTGCCAGATATGTCGCTAGTCTCGTTTAAAGAGCCGGTGTTGCGCCTGGAGTCGACCCGTTCATTGTTGGGCGACTGAAAATCCCGGACATCTGAGCCCTCAGTAACCGGGAAGATCTTGATCAAGCCACCTTCATGGATATCTGAGCCTGCTAGAATGGCTTCGTTGATAAGAACGTCCTCGGATGAGAATGCATCGTCATGAATCCAGAGAGATGCGCGAACTGACACGGTGTTTAGGCTATTCTGGTAGCCGGAGGCTAAGCCTGTTTGTGATGTCCCAGTGGCTCGGACGGTCGAGCCGCTGCTGGTCCTTCGATGTGCTGATATATGATTCATATTGAACGCTGAGTCGAATGTGAGGCTCTAGGGATTTCGGGCTGTTAAACTGCCGTCTTCATGTCCCAAATCGAGTTGCCAGCTCTGACGAGGTGGCCAACTCATCCTCCACGAGCGCAGGCGACAACACATCGGAGCTCCTAGACAAAGTTTTCGATGTCAGAACAGAGAACTCTATGAATAGTCAAGCTCCTCTGTCCGTATTTGTTGAGAAGTGTGTGATGCTAGGTATTGAGAACAAGATGCACAGTAAACTCGATTCGACGTCGAGACAGGAAACTGGGGCCAAGCTTGCCAAGACACCAAAAGGCTGCAAGTAGTTAGCGGCTTAACCTGCTCAAGGAAGGAGATGACGCCGCCCTAAATACAGCTCTGTGCTGACTAAAGCGGCAAGATCAGACATCAGAAACACAGCACTCTGACGCGGTCTGTATATAGAACTCTTGAGCAGTCAAGCAGTCCATGAATTCCTCGAAAGCATTGTGATGAAGCCTCTACCATACGGTCTTCGTGATGGGCTTCCATCAACATTTCGCCTTCTGCGGACCCATCCAAGGGAGAGAGGCTCGATTCTTTCCCTTCTCATTCATGTCAAAAGCCGTTGTTATTGATTGGTACAACCTCTTGTCGCAGGTTCATCTAAATTCTAAGGTACTAATAATACATGCGCTCTAAAGGGTATCGTCGCCGTGGGCAGGGGAATATCGTCACTCATCATATGTCCATCCCTCCTGTTTTCCTACCACACACTCCTCGTTTCAACATTGAGCAGCCATCTCTTGACCCCCTCACGTAACACGTTATCTTGCTTCATTTCTTGATTCAAGGCATCATCATTCATCTTGACATGTCCATCGGCATCTCGGCTTCTGTTATGCCTGGTCAAATCGTCATTGACACTTTTCACGACTTCTTCGAGAGCGCCAACTACTACTTGTCGGCAATCTGATTGGGACAACGTGGTTGGGCGACGCCAGTCTCTCGCCTTGCCGGAGCCCGATATTTCCAGTGGCAGCGACCTCACCGAAGACGTCGTCGCGGTAGACACAGTCCGAGAATGTGTCCTGGTTGGAGCGCCTGACTTCTGCCTTCCCGGCTCTGTCTCGTTTAGGACACGTTCGATTGCATCAGTAAGTGTTGTATCAAAGTCCATGACTATTTCGCTGTCAAACTGCTCCAGCTGAGTCGCTGGCGATCCTAGCTCGGCGCTGGATGATGCTCCGGAACCATGTGGGACATTGTCTGATCCGGACTGGCTCGGAGCACCTGTACCAGTATCGCCGGCGGTACCTCGTTGTGTCAGTCGTCTCAGGGTCAGACGCTGAATGCTGAAGTTCCGTAGGTCAGCAAGTAGTGTTGTGCAAACAGTAACCCATTGTTCTCCATTGTTTTCTGTGTCTGCGGGCAATCGAGACATATCATCAGAAGGGGTTGGTTCTCTTGACATGCTTCTCCTGATTTCGTCTTGAAGCTCAGTGTACGGCTTGACTCCCTGTAGTATGAAGTCTTCATGAAACCGTTTCAGGTAACCGGCAACGTTTGGAGATTTGCACCCTGTCACATCGGCGTGACGCGAATGTGTGCTGTACATTGAGCCCACTTCGTCCACACTCGCAAAAGAAGGGGATCGATGATGTATCCATGAAGGGGGAGAGGCGCCTTTCCCCTCGTTCCAACCGATAAACCCAGGAATATTGATGTCCACATCAACAACTCCATCCCTCTCATCGACTGTTAGCCGGGGGGGATGCGCCTCGCTCGGGAGCGTCGATGGTCGATACAAGCTTGTGGAATCTTCCTCTTGACCTAGCTTACTCTTTCGAAGCCGACCGGCTTCGTCAACCATTGCTTCCAAGCGACTTGGCTGTCTCCCATGGATCTGCACAGATTTAGGGGCGAATCGGCGGCGATCACTCAAGCTTCCAGTGTCAAACGAACTCGTGATCTCACTTGTTGAAGCGGTCGAGTCCTGCCTCTTGTTCCATAGTCCAGATACGTTGCTGATCAACGATCCCCAGTTCATACTCGATTGATGGGACTGTGATTGACTCACGCTGTCGCGTCTCAAGATTCGAGCAAGATCAGCGCTAGCTCCAGTCTCTTCGCTATCCACGACGGCGCCTTCAGGAAAGTAGCTGTCAACAGCCTTTGTCGCAAAGTGTGGCACGGGTGTGCCCAGCCCTGGCGTAGCTGTCGAGCTGGTTGGATTGGTCTTGTGAAAACTACCACCATTATCTCCCGGTGAAAAGACGGAGACCTGTCTCATGCCCAGCGTAAGCTCGGCGTTGGAGATTCGCGACCGAGAACTTCTGCGGAAGGCTCTAGCTATACCACTGGCGCTCTCAGACGAAGAGACACTGCTGGACAACCCAGCACCATCGCGGCGATAGAATGTGACGGTTCCATCTCGCGACTTATTGTGAGCATGGCGACGTAGGGAATCTTCATGGATGATCCTATGGATAGGCGAAGAGGAGCTGATATCAGGCGTGAGTAGCGGGGACATGACCTCGGAGGGGAGCTTCGTGATTGCATTCCGGGGCAGAAATGATGCCAGCAGAAAAATGATGCGGCGAGCCATTGATCGGTTCTCGCAGACTATGACTGTTCGAGAAGCCACGTTAGTGGGTCGAGGCCTCCCCTTGTTCAAAACTCTGAGCTGTCTTCGATACCAGTCTGGTCCTAGCCTTTCGAGCCATTCAGTATGGTTTCCAAGAAATGCAGTCAAGAGGTTGAAAAGAAAAAAGTTTTGCTGTTTATTTCCGCAGAGTCGCACAAGATAGCGTGCTTCGTCAAGCCAGTGACCCCCGTTATCAAGTCCAAGGCCCGTGTACACCCGCGGAATGCGCAGCGCATATGACACTCTCCATAGAGTATGCCTCGCGGCGCGTTGCAGCTCGGCCACCTGCGCCAGTCTGTTTGGAGACCGAAGATAGACATTGCGCTGATTGGTACGTTGTTCTGAAGGGCCTTTTGGTGCCTTTGCTGCGGAGGTGATCAGCGCCAGATTCACCTCCTGCAAAAGCTCGCCAATCTCGGACCGTGCTAGCGCCTCAACAACTGCAAGGCTCCTCAGAATAACTTCCCAGTTTCCCACAATAATATCAATGCCACGGTCAGTTAGCTGGCTGGAGGTGTCGCTAGACCACAAATACTCGGGAATTGCGTTCAGGATTGTCCAGGACGAAAAGGAGTCCGACCCATAGGAATTCGGGGTCGACGACGGCGTAAATGAGGCTCTTGATGAAGGGCGCGCCGACGACGTGTTGGAACGCACGTCACCAGGGCGAGGCAGGTAGAAAAGCAAGCCGATTGCAAAGACAGGAGTCTTTTTCTCTACGAGTTTGGGTTTCTTGCTGTGGAGGGAGCCACCCATCAGATTCTCAGGCCCATGCGACAGCGGGCTGATTGAGGTGGTGGGATCGGCGGAAGACCTTCGTCGCTGCCTCAAATCATCTTGAGCCTCAGGAAGCGTAACCGAAAACATGCGAGTGATCAGAACGGCGTCCCGTGGTTCGGGGTCAGATTCTCTGGCAGGATTGTTTTGACTCTGATTGTTAGCGGTGGTCGTAGCTGTCCTCGCTCTCAAGAGCGGAGCACGAGAAGGCGCTGTGCCAGACAGATTTGAGGTTGGTGCACGCGAACTTAGGTCGCTAGCAGGACTTCGATCGCCTGGGAGGAAGTGCAATTTTGTGCTGGATCCGGATTTGGCAGCACTGCTGACGCCAAACATACAGTCTAGCACATTGCCTAGGTGGTCCGTCGGTTCCGACTCCTTGTGAGGGCGCGCCCACGACGCCGAAGCTCCTGAAATGGTAGAGCTTCGATTCCTCGCATGTCCCAAAATAGGAATCCCCGAGCCTACACGCTGAGGTGCTCCGGCAGCAGCAGGAGAGGGGACAGGGGGGCGTTGACCCAAGTTGGGCTCCTTTGACTCCACAAAGTGGGTGTCATAGAGCAGTAAGGGACGGTCGTTGGTTCCGAAGGCATCCTGGGCAACAATGAGCCTCAAGTCTTTGGACTCGTTCAATTCCAACCCAATTCGATCATCAAAAGGTGAGACACGGGTCGTAGGAGAGCCATATGGAGTACTGGGTGGTGATAGAGAGCTGACACGTCCCTCCGCATGTGATTCCGGCCAAAGGAGACTGCGGGTGTGTGTTTCTTCCGTGGCACTCTCAAGCTGGCCACCTCTGGCATAGCCCTGGATCAGTCTCCCCAGCATTTCAACACAATCTTCAGAGTCTCAAGGGTTCGCAGACGGTTCATCACATAGGGATCAAGGCGCGATAGTAGACTGAATTGGAACAAGGGATATTGAGTGGACGCGCAAGATCGGGTTCGGAGAAAGAAGGGCGAGAGGACGACGGCGTAGACACAGACATCGAGACATGTTGTGGATGACAGAGGACGACCGTGCTCGGGGACGGTGTGAAAGGGGTCAGGGACAGCAAGGCAGCACAGTGCTTTGCTGTTGTAGAAGCTTACTAGGATGTAAGAAGTGAGTTGAACCTGTCCTGTGCCTGTTTGTTCTTTAGGAATTTGGAGAGTGGGCGACGAAGGGGGAACAAAGCGGCGTGACGGCATCATTTTCCAACTTACGGTGAAGAGCCGGAAACCAGCCGGAAGCTAACCATATCGGGTAATCCGCTAAACCGACATTGTCCGTCCCGAAATCTTCCAACCGACTCACTCTCGTCCAAACTGCATACAAGGAGATACATATTATTACCTCGTACCTAGGTACAAGCCGGATACCAGTTCTCTTGGCCCCCAAATGCTTGTGTTTTAATCCCTTGGACACTGAGTGCTATGCTGCTACGTCTGCCGCGGCTATCCAACGATGCAGCTCAACGACAATGCCTCCCTTCTCCTACAAACTGTCCTGTGCACAAAGCTCAAGAACCTCTACGTCTCCTCCGCAAGGACCGTTCCTCACACTAGGAGGAGGAGAGCAAGATGAAGGCCATGGCGCACGCCTGAAGAGCTGGATGCTGTGCTACAGGCAGGCACGGGAGGTGCGCCTGATCCAACCATCTCATTGGAATAACATGGCTACAACGAGCGCTCGACGTTCAATTCAATGGCAAATCCTCAGTGCTCAAACTCCTTTTGTTCTTCTTCTCAACCTCACATTGGTGTCTCCTTTCTTGCCCAAGGCTACCGCCTGAGGAACACAATACCTCACTTCTCTCTTCGTTTCATGATCACCTCCAGGTTTGTTTCTCTTTACTCCATTGCTCTTCGTGGTCTCTAAACCGCATGCATTTCATGGCCCATGTGCGTTCTCATCAATGCTTCACTCTAGAATGAAGGCTGCTCAGTAACCCTGGCATGGTTACTAGTACTGCCTATGACATCGTCTCCAGCGCAAGGCTTTCTGATATCTTACTTCCACCTTCTTGACATCTTCCATCTCTATCATTCTTTTCCTCCTTCCAATCTTTGATCTGAATTATTTTGGCTCTTCTCCTCTTGGTTTCCTTCTGTACTTGGTGTTTCGGCAGAAGATCTTCTATTGTGGAAGCTCGGCCTGCTTCGTACACCCAGGATCGTCGTCGATCACCATGGCTCAGTCGCCCGGCTCCTCTGTCGCCCCAGACAAGGATGTCATCGTCATCTCAGATGACTCAGATAGCGATTCAGGATCTGAATGTCAGCTAGTGTTACCAGAGAAGCCAAGCGTCAAAGCTGAGCCGGATGAGGAAGCAAATAAGACATTTCCCGTCGACTCCAATACCTCGCAGAACGAGATCACGGCGACGAGCCACGACAGTGGGTTCGATGATAAACCCCTCGCGACCTTCACTAGCACCACGACTAAATCTGAGCTTTCTGAGTTATTTCACGAACAAAATGATACCATGGCCCATGAGTCGAATGATGACGAGGAAGATTTCAAGCCGGATAAGCCCAACTCCAATTCTGGACCAATCATGCTAATTGAGCCTAGTGATGGGCAGAAGGATACGCCAGTTGCTCAACCCACGATCGAGAACCTCGACAGGGTGGCAGAAGATGCTGGGTCGCATCACGATGGTGATGCAGATGACAAAATACACAGTGGGAAGCAGGGACTAGCTGAGAGCGCGGTCGAGGACGGACACACTGACGTCGATCTTGTTAAGGCCGCAGATGATGGTTCAAATGTGCCACACCCTGACGCTAGCCAGCTGGCACGCCCCGAGTCTTTCGACGAGTACAAGACTCTCGGTCATCCAGAACAAGTGGATTTGGGAGGACCGTCGGAGCCTCCTTTCCCTCCGGAAGAAGACTTGGAGATGCACGGCCTTGAAGCTCTTCAGCAGTACAACCAGAATAAGACCAACCTTCGTGATATTGAGGATGGTGACGATGCGATTGATGAGTCCGCTTGGAACTCTGTGGGGCCGTCAAACAACCTTGTTGAAGAAAACGGCGACGAGATGGATTGGAACGCCATCATCGACAAGGACCCCGCAGCAGAAGATGCACAAGCAGCTGCGTATTTTGCCCATCGCAAGGCAGAGTATGAGAAAAAGGTGGCCGCAAAGACAAATACTAAAGCAGACGACATGCTATTCGCTACAGAGAAGCTTGCTGAGCACAGACGGCTCCGGGACATTGCAAGAAGGAAGCTTGTAGTAAACAATACTCCCACGCGAGATGACCTCCCTGCAGGTTATGAAGAGGCAGATTCGCTATTCGTTCCAGAGATTCCTACCCTACCAGGTCCTCCACCAAAGGAGGGACCAGCGCCAAAAACTCGCAACCGACTCTCCAAGAAGGAGCTACAAGATGCGATCTCTGCTGGCATTGATGCCGGCTTCGGTGAGGGTCGAAAGCCAAAGAGAAAGGCGGCGGCTTCCACAGAAGATCGTCAGCCAAGGAAGAAACGAGGCACGAACCAGAACGGCGGCGTCCCAAAGTCTTACAAGAAGAGAGGTCGGCCGCGACGGCCGAACCTGAGCAACCTCCAAAGCCTTGGACAGACCAATATCGTGGGCGCTGCACAAGCCAACGCTTCGAGACCGGACATGCCGACCTTCACGTCGTCCAACAAAGCCACGGCACTGAAAGAACTCATTGCGAGCATCCCGTCGGCTGAGCGTGGCTCTGCCAATTCGGATCGAGCGGCTGTCTTGGAGGCCACCAAGAAATTCAAAGGGCGTGGCGCCGTGAGATCAGATAACCACGGCGGGTGGAAGCTTCGAGGCATGGAGTCTTCGCTCTACAACCACCAACTTCTCGGCGCTGCCTTCATGCGAGAACGGGAGACCGGAGAAATAAAACCGAAGGGTGGTCTAGTCTGCGACGAAATGGGGTTTGGAAAAACAATACAGATGATGTGAGTCGAATATCGCAAGCGTTTGTACCGTTGCTAACTTGGGCAGTGCGAACATCCTGGATGGCAAAGCGGACGAGGGAAGTGCTATCAAAACCACGTTGATCATTGCACCGCCTACCCTGCTCAATCAATGGATGCAGGAAATGGACAAGCACGTAAAGGGGAACGCCATGGGTCGAATTCTCCGTTTCCACTCCGGTTCTCGTCTTCAAAGCAACAATATCGTCGCGGACTTGACGGCGTATGATGTGATTCTGACCACCTATGGCGAGGTCCAGAAGAGCTATCCTCTGGCAGAGCCGCCCAAGAATCTGGCGTCCGAAGAGCAAAAGAATAAGTGGTGGAAGGACTACTTCCTCAACAACGTCGGGCCGCTGCACCGGATCAAGTTCCACCGCATCGTCCTAGATGAAGCCCATCACATCAAGAACCATACGTCCAAGACCTCGATTGCCGTGCGTGCTCTCACGGGTATCTACAGATGGTGCATTACAGGGACCCCGATCCTGAACTACATCGAAGAGCTCTTTCCGTACTTCTCTTTCCTCAGGGTTCCTCATACCGGGGACTACGCGACCTTTTGCCACAACTACTGCAACAACCGGATCAATAAAGACCCAGTCAATATGGGCAGGCTTCACAATGTCCTGAGGGGTATCATGTTGAGGAGGACCCACGTGGATACGCTGTTCAACGCTCCCATCGTCAAACTGCCTGGTATCACGCACAACACCGTCCTGGTCGAATTTAACGCCGTGGAGAGGAATATCTACAACATTGTCAAGTCGAGATATATCCAGCGAATCAACACGTACTCGACATCCGGGAACCTCAACAGCAACTACGGCAACATTCTGGGCATGTTGATGCGTCTCCGAATGCTTTGTTCGCACATCATGCTGTGTCAAGACGTGTTGAAGCGCTTGTTCGTGGCGGCAGACATCGAGACTCTGTGGAGGCTGGCGGCCAAAGAAGTGTCGGCCTCTCGCGACAACGTTGCGGTGAACATGATGCGAGCTCTGAGGAAGATGCTCGTTGCCAACGAAAACACGCTCAAGACATTCCAGACCAGGGAGCTCGAAGGGGCTAACGTGACGCCAGATGTCGAAGACGATGAAAACCTTGCCACTGGTTCCGACTACGGGCTTTCCTTCCAGTTCCGAAAGTTCCTTCGGGCGTTGGCTACATCCGAGACCTGGACGGAAGTGCATCTTCGGTCAATCTGTGCCAAATGTCGCCAACCTCCCGACGAACCGGTCTGCACTTCATGCTTCCACGTGTACTGTCAAGAATGCATGACGGCCATGCACGAAGAGCGGACAAAGAGAGGGGAAGAGAAGATGGCGTGCCTCGAATGCCAGACGTTTTTCGAAGAGTCGTCCCCCTGCAGCGGCCTGAAAGAGCTCGGTTTCAACAACCAGGAGATGGCGGCCAAGGTGGAAAAGAAGAAGAGACAGCTGGCCAAGCTGACGCAAAAGGCCACAGGGGGAGCGAGAGGTGCTGGCTTCCGCCATGGTAGTGACACCTTGGATGAAAACAGCGAGGGCGAGGAGGAAGACCTGGACTGGCTGGAAGCGGGTGGCGATCTCCTCCCGTCTGCCAAACTGTTGGCGGCGAAGGCGGCCATCCTCAACTGGAAGAAGCGGGACGAGGGACAAAAGGTGCTCGTCTACACCCAATTCCTCGGGCTCGGGAAGATTTTCAGCAAGGTCTGCTCGGCCGAGGGATGGGGCCATGTGCTCTTCAACGGCAAAATGTCCCTTGATGCGCGAGACCGGGCGATCACCAAATTCCAGCACGATCCCAACATCTTCATCATGATCTGCTCCTTGAAGGCCGGCGGGGTGGGTCTGAACCTGAGCATGGCGAGCAAGGTTATCATTCTGGATCTGTGGTTC